CCCCAAAACCCCAAAACCCCAAAACCCCTCAAATAATTTACTTATTGAATAAGTACAGCCTGACCATAAACAAATAAAATAAAAATGGAAAATAAGTTGACAGGTAGCCAAGCAAAATTTGAGCCAAAATCTCAATCAAGAGTCTTTGTCCCACTCCAGAAGGAAATTCAATCTCACTCTGCAGTGATAGCCCCAGCAAAAAGTAGTGCTCCTGTCAATAAACACTACTCAAATATTGCTGAGGAGGACTATGACTACCATGCTTTAGAAGATCTACAAATGAAAATGCTCCAGTCTCCAAATAAGTCAAGGAATTTGGTCTCTGGCTACAACAAAGAGTCAGCCATGAAGAAGACCAGTAAGGAGTTTCTGCCGCTGGCGCAGAGGATATAGCTGCCAAAAAGATTTCAGTGACTTTGACTGAACTCAAAGAAGTCAAAGAGGAGAAAGCTCTCCTCCAACGGTCAAGTAAGCTTTTCGTACCAAAATCGATGAGAAAAGCAGCAAACCTGACACCACAAAATGAGCAGGATACAAATCAACAGAAACCTGTTGACCAGACTATAAAGTCTGGAATCAAGACTTCTTCAGTGAATAAATGAAGTCTGAAAAATAGCTCCTCATTAAGAAATACGAGGAAGCCGATAAAAGAAATAAAGCCTTTTAAGCCAAAGCTAATCAAAAGTCAGAAGAAAGTAGCAAAATCTTCCATGTCTCTCATCTCCAAGGAGTTCAGAATAAAAGATAAGGAAGGCAAGCAAAAGGAAAAACAGATAAGACTGAGCCTCGAATCACCGGCCAAGCCTGGCTTTTCATCAGAAGAGGAAGGGCTCTCAATTAAGAACTCTACCTATGAGACACCAACAAAGCAGTGCCTTATCAAAGCAAAGCCTGAAGAGCAGGAGCTTTATGATACTATCGAGGAAACCCGTAGCATTGAGGAGCCAGAGGAAAATCAATATACTCCGGAAACTTTCCAGACTCATTGTCCAAACAGTGAATCCAGGTCCTCTTCTGCTCAAGATCAGGGGCAGAGCCCTGATGACGCTAGCTCAGAATCCACAGACAGAAATGTGGATGAGATAAGTGAAGAAGATGGGGATATTATTTTTCCGACCGAACAAGATTCAGCTATCTCTGAAGAAGACAAAATTATCTTCCCTCACTCTTCTCCGAAAATTCTCGAAGAGGGAGTGGTAGTAAAATCCCATGGAGACATCAGAATGGAAGTTAATACAACTGTTAACATACTGATCAGCTCAAAGAAAGCAACAAAAAAGTTTCCAATGCAAGAGTTCCTGAAATTAGGGAAATCGACGATCTGAAATATCTCAGAACAGAATCCTTCTTATATAAACAAATTAACACTTGCAAGGGACAAACAGGTGAGGATTAATCCAGAATTTGATCAAAGGAGAGGAAATTTAAGAAGGTCTAACAAGTCAAACAAAAAAGATTTCTATAATTCCCATATCTCCCATGGATTCACAAGGAATCCAATCTCAGAGGCCACCAAAGAAATGAAAGACCAAGCTTCCTCTTTCAAACTCGAACGTAGTCGCGTCAACAGATCAGACATCGAACTCAGGGCTAAGGCTGTCCTCAACAAGATAACTCCTGACAACATCACTAGACTCAAAGAAGAACTTTACACAGTTATAAAATCCTGATCTGACGAAGAAGAGACCCAAAAAGTAGTCAAGATAATCTTCCGGAAAGCCACATTAGAAGAAAAATACACGCCAATGTATGCTTCCTTAGTCAAGGACCTCGGCCAGAGACAGTACGAGGACAGTTCCCAAGCTGAAAGCTCCTCTTCAGGTTCTAAGATAACCGGGCTGACTATGGCCAAGAAGAGCATGCTCAAGTCCCATATCGTTAACGAATGCCACTCTTGTTTCTGTGAGTTCTTCACTGAAATGGACATGACTGGCATCCTCGAAGAGGATGCCGAAGAGCATGTCTATAAGTACAGGAAGAGACTTTTTGGAAATCTCATGTTCGTGGCTGAATTGTCGAAGAAGAAGTTACTTACTATAAGGACTACACTTGAGATACTAGCTGGTTTACTAGGAAAAGATCCCAAGAATCCTGAACTAAAGTCCAATGAATTCACAGTTGAAGGGGCATGCATATTCGTCAAAAGAGTTGGTCCTAGGCTCGATTTCAATGTTCAAAAATCCAAGAAATCTAAGCCTCTTGAGAGAAAGCCTCATCATGACGAATTCGATAAACTAATGATCGTCTTCGAACAATTTCAGTCCAAAGAATATAACAAAACCAGGGTTGGCTATCTCATCAAAAATATCCTTGAAATGAGGAGTAAAGGATGGGAAGACAGAGCCCTTAAGGAAGGACCAAAGACTAAGAAACAGATCCAGGATGACCACTTTGCTTCCCTTCAAGAGCAAGAAGAACCCTGCCCGAAGAAATATTCCTCCAAAAAATCCACCAAAGCAAGCTCTAGCGAGGGATTTTTTGATGACTTTAGTGCCTTCGAGGATTTCAATCCAACGAATTTGAAAGAAAAGACTAGTGTTCGAAACTCCCAGAATGAAGAAGAAAAGACAGAAAGTAGTCAGACTCAAAATCTGGACGATAACATACTTTCAGACAGATTTATTGGTAACTTTTCGGAGTGGGTTGAGTCCTCAATATTCAACTTTACAACATACATGAAGCCTGAGAACAGATGTGACAAGCATAAGATCGTCAAGCTCTTACTGGATAAGCTCTACGACAAGAAAGAAGAGGAAATCCTGAGATTCCCTGAATACTTTGAAATACTCTTCACTGAAAAATGATTTACAAGTAAAGACATTGAAGCTGGCTTGACTGAGTTCTTCATTACGATCCCTGACATCGAAGCTGACTTCCCACATCTTGCAGATCAGCTCAGTGACTTTCTCTACTTCATCTTCGTGGAAAAAGAAATGGCGAAGTTCAGAAGGGTCAAAATCAACATTAAATCCGAAGGAGAAGACGATCCAGATATTTTCGTTGAAATCTACTTCAAAATCTTTGCATCTCTTTTGACCAAGATTCAGACAGAACTGGGGAATAAAAAGCTTGTTCACTACTACAAGAAATTTAAACTGGAAAAGACTTGTAAAGCACTGAAACCCTACATCCTTGAGAAGGACTTGTTTGATGAGTTGTCTGGGGCTGGAGTCCCATCAACAGTGATTCCCCTGATTGATACCTAATTTTCTACACATATTTGACAAAGAATTCTTATATTTCAGTTAAGAACAAATTCAATTCAGAGAAATTTCTGAGGGGTTTTGGGGTTTTGGGGTTTTGGGG